TCCAAAGCAACCTGCCCACCTAGATCCCTCACCACAGCATCTGTCAGCCTGTGGACAGATTTATTTATTGCAAATCCCCTTCTCCCCTCCTGGATCTCCCACACAGGCATGTGGGCCAGTGTTCTCCAACACAGGAAATCAAATTAAAAGAAAAGCCAATATTGCACTGTGGTGAGAAATGTACTTTCACACAGAGCTCTATGTTCTACCCTGTAACAAGCACACAGGCATGCAGCAAACATACCATACTCATGCCACCAGCTCACCGTGGAGAGGGGGGGGTGTTTCTGGTCTCTCATGTCAAGGAAACTGCAAACTACCAGTCAGAGGTCATAGGTGCACGGAGGCCTCAACAATCATAAATTACTGTTTGGTTCCTCCCTTACCTGCTGCCTTTTCTAAAAGCAAAATATCTCTCCGAAATATAGAATTTAAGTAGATAAATTTAAATTTAAACTAATAAGAAACAAAAATTATGTATTTAAAAAAACAAAAAGATATTATAGCTTTCAACTTAATTATTCACTTACAACGAACTGAAAAATGCCACTTCATCTTTAGAATCCCCATTTCTTATTTTCTTTTGTCTCCTGAAAAGATCCAAATATTCATGCAGAGAAAGATGAGGGAAAATAACTGCCCCCACCATACACAGAACTACAACCAAAGTGCCAATGTAGCCAGGTACCATTTCCTCTGGCAAAGCAGACCAGAGTTCCTCAACAACTAGAACCCCATTAATACCAAAAAAAAATCCATCCTTTTGGCATCCTAGCCACACAGACACCATTATAACCCAACTCTCCTGGATACCCTCCCCTGAAGATCAACAAAGGCACTCTTGCATATAATGCATATAATCCTGGAAAGAAGGGATCTAAATCCCTTCAAGTCTGTGTGCAGTTACGCACACACAGTGGTGGTGTGCATCCTAGCAACAGGTATGATTTCGTTACGTATTCAACTACACAGCAGCTGTACAGGGAACTCAGCTATTAGAAAGTGTAGTGTAAAAGTCACATAATTTCAATGAAACCAAAGCGCTACCCACAACTGCCTAAGGGAAACTGGTTCTGCACTCTGCTCAGGTCGTCAGCACGAGGACAGAGAAGCACATTGTGCGTATTACTGACAGAGCACCCACAGAAAATCACAGAGCATACCTGCACCCTTGCAAGCCAGACACCCTGCTGGACTCAAAGGGAGCCAGAGCACCAATTAAATAAAGTTCACAACCTTCATGGCCCATGTAGGTGAGGCACTCAGGCACATGGTTTAGTGGTAGACTTGGCTGGCAATGTTAGATTTACAGCTGGACTCAAAGATTTTTTCCAACCTAAATGATTCTAGGATTCCATGCAACGTGTTAGTGCTGTTCTAGAGTATGCCAACAATGTATCACAAACCAACTGACACCCCCAGTTAAGTAAAGACTGCAGACAAAGGAAGAGCTGAAAGTGTGAGTTATTCACAAGCCTGTCACACTGCCCATGGAAACCATGTAGCAATGACTGTACCTGCTTAGTTCACATTATCTTCATTATTTTGCAGATACTAACAGAATGGTTTATGTTGGAAAGGGTCTTAAAGCTCATCCAGTTCCAACCCCCTGCCATGGGCAGGGACACCTTCCACCAGACCAGGTTGCTCCAAGCTGCGTCCAACCTGGCCTTGAACACTGCCAGGGATGGGGCAGCCACAGCTTCTCTGGGCAACCTGTGCCAGGGCCTCACCACCCTCACAGGGAAGAACTTCTTCCTAATATCTCATCTAAACCTACCCTCTGTCATCACAAAGCCATTATCTCTAGTCTACCTAGATCTAGCAGAAGTGTCCTTCAAGATGTTTAAACATCAATTCAGAAAAAAAAAAATTAAAAAAAAAAAAAAGTCCCATTCACTTTGAGGCTTGCCTGCCACACCACTGAGACCAGTCCAAACTTCAAAAGATACAGCCTCTTGGGAACAATGCCTTGTTTAGTGGTTTTGTTACTTCTGCCCCAACAAACTCCAACACACACATAGCTCAAAATACATACAGGAAACTTGTATTTTTAGTGTAATAGATTAAGACATTTATCCACATTTATTCTAAACATGACGAATTTATTCTAAACATGACGAACATGACGAATGCAGCTTTGCTCAGTCTCTGCAGCAGCCATCAAATGCTAGCAGGTACTAAGTAGAACTAGATACTTCCATTACAAAAAGGGAATAAAGTATTATCCCTTCAGAACTGGAGCTACTTAATTCTTTTTGATTCCTTCCTTTCCCCAGAAAAAGGGGAATAATTTTATTTCTGTATGAAATCAGGAAACCCTACACTCTGGGGCCTACAACACTGTAAGTTATTTTACTTAGGTCAGTGAAATTGCAGCTCAGTGAAACTGCAGCAACCTTCCCTCACTCAGCTCTCCCCTTCCCCCCACTCTCAACTCCCTTCAGCACTGACTGCTAGAAAGTCAGTTTTCAGAGTCATGTGCCAGATAAAGGCTTTTTCAGATAACATGTGGATAAAGCAGTGGCATTAAGTGGCTTGCTGGATTCCTGACGAGGAAACGTACCTAAAAGCAATTCCAGACAGCACTGCAGGAGCTCAGTTACTATTAGTAGAGAGGCATCAAACAAATGCCTCAGTATGCATCTAACAAGTTGAAAATTCATAGACTGACTAGTACGCCTTCAGATGAATAGTTCTACAACAAAAGAGTGTTCATGGATAGTCAATCTTCAATTACAAACACAATATACAGTGGTTTTACTATGTAATCGGAAAAAAAAACCCAACCCAAAACAAAAAAAAAAAATCATAATATAATGGTTTCTGAAGCCTCAAAAAATACTGAAGAACATTTTACACCACTGAAATAAACAGGTGAACTGAAAAAGCTGATTTATTCTTCTAGGGAAAAAAAAAAAGTTTAATCAAAACTCATTAAAAGACATTATGAGAATGCACTGTCAGGTGGAAATATGGCAAATACTCCCCTTACCTAATCTCTATGTGATCTTCCCCAGAGCTGTAAGAAAACACTGCACTGCAGGACATAGCTCAGTGAAGCCCTCTGTAAACTGAAGTATGACTTCAGCTGCGACGTAAAGCATCATGCATCCTACTCTTTACACAACCAGGATATACATACATTATGTTGTATGTACAAGATAACCAAACACCTCAAAACATTTCCTATTTGTTTACACCCATAAGAATTACCACATTTCAACATACTTGCGCAACCCAGTCTTTAAAATCCTGTGCAGTAGCGCAAGACTGACCTGTTTTTCTTAGTGATAACTCAATTCATCCCATTTTGCCAAGCAATTCCAAAATGAACTTGAAGTAGTATTTATTAACCAAATATTTCAAACTTAAAACAGTTGGATTAAAAGGTAAGGTGCTTTTTTTCTACAAGCCTCAACTTTTTAACCTATAAACTACCAAGCACATCACTTTTTAACAAAAAAAAAAAAAAAAGACAAAAATATCTGAAACTAGTAAAAGATCACATCAGTTACTTATTTCTGTTTGATTTTAACTACTTGAAGCCTTTTTAAATAACCCACTCAATCATAACTAGGAGCACAGACAACTCTTTCTAGGTCTCACACTATAAATAAAGCATTAATGAATACTAGTGAAAGACAACAGGAATATTGGCACAAGGAACACAGGACCGTTTAAAGGTTACATTCCATCGGTTAGTGTTGCAAGCCAGTGAGAATGACTACAAATTAGAATTAAAGACAAACAGAAAAACAAAACAGTTTGATACCAAGTCCAGGGGGAAAAAAAAAATTGGTTTGAAAACACAAAAGGAAAAGGTGCTTTGCAAAATTCTGTCATTGGACCCAAAAAGGTAAATTTCCCAAAGTGTGTATTTTGCCCCTAAATCTGAAAGGGGAGACTCAGAAGATGAATCATTAAAAGGGAGTTTAACCTTAGCAGGAATGGCCATATGCCTTCAAGAAAGCACTCAGGTCAATATTACTCTTCAGTAGTCTCCTCAGAGCTAACTCCAGTCTAATTAACTGTGTGTGTTGACAAATACAGAAGTGAAGGCTCTCCTTCGGCACCAGTAATATTCTTCTTTACCTTCTATTTTTTCAGTTGACCCCTTGCTAACTCGAGTATTGCAACACAGCATAACTTAGTATAAATGTGAGATTCTGACTCAGTTCAATTAAAATCTGTCCAGAAGTTTACTTTGGGAACTTTTGTGTCTCTAGTCAACATAACTTCCCTAGCGCTAAGCCTCAACTAATTTAAAACAGAATTACCATGACTTGAATAAACTGTCTTTCCAAACTACTGAGTTGAAAATACTGCCAAGCTGGTTTGCACCTAATATTTCCTCTTCTTTAAGCAAATTAAAAAGCATAGATTCCAACTTTGAAACAGAAGATTGGAAGATTTCACTTTAAGTGTTACTAATTCCCAAGTACCAATGTTGAGGCTGCTCTAATGAAAGAGGAATAAGCCAGAAAATTTCACAAGGATGCAGCTGATTTGCCTGAACATGAAGCATTGTGGGAAATTTCTTTAGTAGCATTCTGAACAACACTAAAAGATACTCCTGTATTTTCATAGTTTCCTTCAGACTCAGATCTGGAAGAGGAGAAATGTGAGTCCAAAGAGACAGATCCCTGTATCATGTAGTATTTTGCTTGTCTAGCTCAGGGAAGGAAAAAGGAAGGTATCATTGACACAAAACATGGTGAATTCCACTGTCTTCAGAAAAATGGTTTCCGAAATAAGAGCTGAAAGCATCTTTTCCTCTATGAAGAAAGTTAAAAAGTGGAGAAGGGAAAATTTAAAAACAAAACAACAACAATCAAAAAAAACCCACCAGTTTTAGTATGTCAAGAAAAGCTAATGCAAACATTCTTTATGGAAATGACCATGCAATCATTTAAAAAAATGTTTACAAAAAGTAGCAAAGCATGAAATATGTAGTCAAGGCGACAACTTCATGCAGAATGGGTTTGTCCAGTACATACCCAGATAGGATCTCTTGGGAGGTGCTTTGATTTCTTCATCCTTACTATCTGCAGCTACATAAAAAACAGTAGAGGGGGAAAAATTAAAAAAAAAAAAAAGAAAATAAAAAAGAAAAAGGAAGGAAAGACAAACAGACTTGTATGATTAAATACAACAGTGGGTCTTTAGTTATAGTTTAGTCAGTTAGTACATTTTGCTTATAAAAAAGTTATAGCCAAAACAAAACATGCCAGAAATCTTAGTTCCCATGCCTTCTATAAAACTCCCACCCCATGATGTTGAGATAGGGTCAAGCGGTAGGAAGTTCCAAAACAGTCTCAATGCACAACCCAATAGCAATGTACCTGTGGGAGAAAATGAAGGCTTAAAACAGTGAAACAGACAGCTTAGCTTTTTCTTTATCTATGTTTCACAACCAGAGAAAACAAGCTGTTATCTCAGCAACACTGAATGTGTAGATATATATGTATAATCAGCTAGCCAATACAGTTGCCTTGCCTCCCATGCAAAACGCTGCTCTAAAAGTTTCAGAAAACCTGCACTTTAGTCAATCATATGAAAGACAAAGAAGACACCAATCTGCATGCTAAATTCTTTCACTCTAGCCTTCTTCCACCAGCTGAAAACCACATACTACGCAAGTGTGCTTTCCAGTATCAAAAACAGAGCTCTTCAAGGGATCAAAGTACTATAATAAGACACAAGTTATAAAGCCGATTAAGACAACCAGCAGTTGGAAGAAAAACTGGATGAGTGACCAGAGGAAATCGTCTTCATGTAAAAACACAAGAGCCCATGTTCTACACGGGGAGCCTGGGCTGTATATAAGAAGAGACACCCAAAAGCCCATTTTTAACAAATGCTGTCCACTGGTTTTCAGTATAGTTTATACATTCAGGGAGCTAGAAATCTGTCACAATGTCTTGGGCCTGAAATGAAACTGATTCTTTGCTGGAGAGGTGCAGAAGCCTTATCTGGGGAAAGAAAAAGAGGGTCTTGCAGAGAGTGTCTGTCCCTCCAAGAATATGAAATGACTGCTCTGGCCTGCCAATGTTTTCAAGAGTGACCAGATGTTTTTAATTATCTTTATCTTTGAGCACCTTGCTTCAGCTTCCTCTTGATTCTCGAGTCAAGACATAGGACATGCACATTTTGCTTTCAATATTTAGCTCTCTAGCATGGTAGCATCATCATGCCCCAGAAATACTACAATGCTTTGAACAAAACCAACTACAACAAAAGAAACTGCCACTGAACCTTACCTTTCTGTACTGAGCCAACAACATAGGGTATATACAGCTGCACAGACACCAATTTAAAAGTGGGCAATGAATAATGAGACCTGTTGTGATAACAATAATGGCACCAGGACATTTGCATTAAAGCAGTCAAGATGCAATTAAAGTGATGTTAAATAAAAGATAAAAGATGAGGAAGTATTTTTTCATGCCTGCTGATTTAATCTGCAGACTTCTTCATACAGTTTTCTAAGTATTCATATGCAGGAGAAAGAACTGTACTATGATTGGAGGTTTTAAAATAAAATTAGAATACTTTGTTGTTTTCTTGCTTGGCTTAGTTTGGTTTTTGTCATGTCATGTGTTGTGTCCTCCCCCCAGTTCAGAACTGTTAAAAACAAACTACACAGTCCAAGCTTAACAAAACAGTTTCATACATAAAGAGGACTTACTCTGCCTTCAATCAGCACATAATAAAGTTTACGTATCCAGAACAAAAAGTCAGTGTAGCACAAGATGGGCTCTGCCACTTTCAACTTGCTTTCACTGCCAGACTAAAAAAAAAGGGAGGGGGGAAGGAGGAGAGAGAATCTCATAACTGAGAGCCACTGAGAGAAAAAAATAAAAGATTATGTGAGTTTTCCTAACAAGTTCTCTATGTAGAGCTTGTAAGAAATAATCAAACATTACTGGGTAAGATTCTCAGGAGACTCTATTTTTCATGCTATGCTAGTTACGCTATAAAAGAAAGTACAAACATTTTGACTGAATGGCTTTATGTGAATGTTCTGAATTGCTATTGATATGTATTTTAATCCATTAACAGCACAAAACAGGCTAGAGAACACAGGATTAGGAAAGACTGCTCCTTAATGCTTCAAGAAGTTTTAAGTAGGTTCCTTCTGAACTAGTTATTACTAAAGGGACCTTAGCTGTGAGAATAATAAAAACAGGAGAAAAAAGGCAATTCCCACATAATTCAAAACACACTGGTAGACATATACTAACAGAGTAGAGGGGAAACATCACATTTAATAGTAATGCAAGAAACCAGCAAGCCCCCTTCCACTGAAATATTCTACTCACTTTCTAAATATTTTGGATTATTTTGAAGAAACATTCAGAGGTAGGATAGAAATTAAAGAAGAAAAATGTTTAAACTGAAGACTAGCCATGTGAGAAATAATAAACTATATTACATACAGAAATAGTGCACCTTCCCCTCAGAATTCTGCAAGGTTAATCAAAAACACTGACCTCAAACATAACTTCTCACTACCCCAACAAGCTATGAGGAAAGAAAGTTAAGTACACAGACTTATCAACTTGCATAGATCACCATAAAAATCGGGAGATAAGATTAGTATAGGATTAGAAACATCGATCTCACTCCTACTCATATTGTGCTTAAAATACAAACCTATCTGTCTTAAAAAAGAGCTTTGTACGCATTGATATACTTATTCTGAGCCATCGTGCTACAGCTGGCCTTTAGTAAAAAGAAAAAAAAAATAACAATCACAAGTAAGAAGACTTTAGTTGTTCTCAAAGTTTGTGGGAGGAGGCAAGCATTTCAATAAAAACAAATAATAAAGGTCCCTAAGTAAGTAAAATCAGTCTCTCTAATTAAACATATAAACTGAGTTTCAGGAAAAAGAAAGGGGTCAAATGACTTAATGCAACCTTGAGAACTTTCCATTACCTGGTAACAAAAAGACTGATTATCCTTTAAGGAGACTGTATGTCTTTCAGGGAGAGTTATTTAAATAGGGCTACATACTAAACTGAATAGCCTCCCTTTCTGTTCAAAGGTTACCAAACGAGCCTGCAAGACTGTGTGTGTAAATGTGCACGAGGATCATATCCCCTCAGAAAAGGCAAACAGAGAAACCTTTCTGCCCCTTCAGAAAATGCTAGCGTAGAGAGCAAAGGAGGGAGAAAGCATACATGCCCCTCCCAAATGCCTTCTGGATTTTAACTACTGCTAAGTCTAGCTGGAAGTCATTCATCCTGGCAGACCAAGAACCATTGTGAATGCCACAGCTTGTGTCTGGGAGCTGGAGTCCAGCTCCCATTCCACATGAATTCACTTACCTGAAAAGTTTCACAATACAAAATGAGCAGGAATTAAAGTCGCTTCCCTAGCTATTACATAAATTACCCTACTGCAGAGCCAGTAGCTACTGCCTTCTAATGATGGCTGTGCATATCTGGAACTGGATCAGACCCTCAATTATTAGGGAGTGAGGGAAGAGAACAGATGGAGAGAATAAATTATCCATTCCTATTGGCAAAACAACTGACAAAAAGCTGACAGCATTAATTCTCTTCTTGTTGTTAATAAGCTGTAACTTAAAATGTTAAGTCAAAGTCAACAAGGAGAAACACAAAAACTACTCCTCTTGCATTTTTTATCTGGGAAAAGGAAAAAAAGCAGAGAGTTTCCACAAAGCTTGAACATCAAACAAGGAATTCTACTCTGGCCCCGACTGGAATTATCAATGCCTAAAAATTAACAAATAACCAAAATTAAAAAACCACATGAAAATTCCCGTAAATCCCCAAACTAATCCCACACTAAAGCCCAAAGAAACAGTATACAAAAAGACAGTTTGGCAATCATGATATGACAGCACCTCCTATTTTGGAAGCAAATAACTCTGTAAGTAAAAATTAAATTATGTACAAAAGCAAGTATTTGCATGCAAAATAAAATTTCAGGTAATAGTGTATGATCATACCCAAGAACTTAGTACAAAGTACAGGTGAAGAAAATAACTTCCTATTCTGGCCAAGATCTTAAAAAAAAAACACAAAACAAAACAAACAAAAACCCAAAACACAAAAAATAACAAAAAAAAAAATCCAGGCTACCACAATGGCATAACAGCCAGCTCTATATTCAGGACATGGTGTGAAATATTAAGGAGAACTCTGATTTCTAGACTGAGCCAAGACCCATCTGAGATAAAATTACAGCTTTACATATTTATCCCTCAAAAAGCAGTTTCAAAAAAGAAGTTCAGGAAGTGCTACACCAAATTATCAAGAGAGGAGACTGGACTGCAATTCGGAGAGAATTTTTATCCAAAGTAACAGTGCACCATGCTTTCAAAAGCATTTATCCTGCAAAAAGACAGTTCCCGTCACTAACCTGCAAAAGAGCGGCGTTTTATGTTTAGCTCATTGGACACGCGTACTTCAGTGCACAGTTTCAGCATCAGTAACATAGTAATGATCATTATAATGCTTTGCCACAACAGAGGGGATTCAAAATGCCTTCCAAACCTGAAAAAAATAAGAAGGAAAAGAAAATATATAAAACGTCTCAAAAATGACAAGTGTTGTACTCAGTTAGTTTCATTCTTTGACCCTAAGCACCTGAAAAAGGAAATCCTAACAGTAACAGGTATGAAAGGTTGAGGAAGAGAAAGTTACCAACCAAATCTAGATGCACATACAGTAAGTAGCTCAGGGTCATACTCCCCTTGACAGGACTATCTGAGAACTTTATTACAACATCTCTGCGGACTGATCCCAGAAATTCTGAAACCAGAAGCTTAAGTCTTTATTTCCAAAGCTAGCAGCAAACCTATTATTTTGAAAGGAGAATCAGATTCATTGATTGGTCAAGACAGTACAGAGAGACCAGTTATGTCGCATTAATACCAGTTACGTCCTCTCCACATACACACTCTGTATATTTCACAAGGACTTCTATGCAAAACTTACCTTTGTTAATTTTTCATTTTAAGATGAAGTCATAAAAACAATAGCACTTGCCCTATAAAGAAATAAATACTCACAGCTATTAGCTTGCTAGGTTTAATATAAAATATTCCTACAGAGTGGAAAGATCAGGTCTGGACCACAGCTGGGGGAAGCCTAAAGTATGTGGGAACTGAAGATACATCATTTGTTCTCTCGTGCCCTCCCCCAATGCAATTTCTGCTTGCTCACAGAGGATGCTTATAATGTGAGCAGGTGGGAATTACTGAGCCCTTCTTGCACATAAAACAGGAACGTGAACTTGGTTTGTGGCCAATCTTGATTGAAGAGCTTACCCTTATGTGATTGCACAAGGTTCTGTCACAAGAAAATAAGACTCTTCAGTGAAGACCAGTGATGCTCTGAGCTCCTCTTTCTGCATTACTTGAAAGCTCAGCAATCTGCACCAGACACATCCAGTATGCGCATTAAAGGTAAAGGATGGAAGTATTTCATGTGCAGTCCTCAAAGTGTACTAGATTTGCAATAGGAAGGCTGCATGCATATCATGGTGAGCTGCTTCTCTGTGATCATCAGTTCAGCCAGATTTTACACCTTGAAGACAGAGAAGGCAGCGTGGAGACCTCATAGCAGCCTTCCAGTACCTGAAGGGGGCCTACAGGGATGCTGGGGAGGGACTCTTCATTAGAGACTGTAGTGAAAGGACAAGGGGTAACGGGTTAAAACTTAAACAGGGGAAGTTTAGATTGGATATAAGGAGGAAACTCTTTCCTGTTAGGGTGGTGAGGCACTGGAATAGGTTGCCCAGGGAGGTTGTGAATGCTCCATCCTTGGCGGTGTTCAAGACCAGGCTGGATGAGTCCTTCGGTGATACAATTTAGCATAAGGTGTCCCAGCCCACAGCAGAGGGGTTGGAACTAGATGATCTTAAGGTGCTTTCCAACCCTAATTATTCTATGATTCTTTGTTGAGGAAGGGATTTGCTGAAAACGCATCGCTATGCTCCCCAACTCCTTCAGCCTACATCGTGAGGCACAGGCTTTCTAAACTTCGTCACAGCACTGTTATCAAGGCCATTCTCCGACTACACCATGCTGCTTCGCAGGCATGGCAACCACTGCCGTCCTCTTGACAGTTCCTGGTTTATAGCACCCTGGCAAAATATAATTTCTTGAGCTTGGCTACTTTCATGGTAGAGCTACACAGCAGTAAAAACCAATTAGGTTCACCATTGCATTCTCACACAATACTGCATTTTCACTATAGCCATTTCACCAGAGAGATTTCTTGTTGAGTCAACTACTAAGGAAAATAGGAGAGAGACTGGAAAGCCCCTGACTAGCTTCCTTGGAAATCCTCCTGTGCAGAACATGCAAGCAGCCCACAACAGTGAAAAGAGTCAAGTATTTCCTTCCTAATGGGATACAGCTAAGGAAAAGTATGACACCTTCAGCCTCCACACCACTGTCAAAGGCACAACCAGAACCTACAGGAAGAATAGCAGTTCCATGTACTGTAGTCCCTCCTTCTTTCTACCATCAATGGATTTGTTGTAGGCCACATGAGACCTACTAAAAAAAGCAGAAGACTCTATGAAGAAGAGAATAAAGAGCATGACTGCTGCATGTAATCAGAGGCAGAGCTCACTCTGGATAAGGCTTTCACTCTACTAGGAAAATGCAGGGGAGAAGAATGAAAATTTGGCCTAGGCTAGCCTATGCCCATGATCCCAAAGCTCATTCAGCCCGCGTTGCTGACTGTGGCCAGCTTTCCCTGAACTACTGGAATTCACTTTTCCTATATTTGTCTTTTATTCAGGGAATAAGGAAAACAAATGTGGGAAAGACTTACCCAGAACTACAGAGCACTTAAAACTGTTTACATCAGGTTCAGAAAAAACATCTCCAATTACAAATACATTTGCATGTAAAAAGATAGTCATGTATATAAGATGTGCTGAGCTAACAGCACAGTAAGCTAGAAGCTGTTATGATGGTAAATCCAGCCACAGGTCACTGCAAGGTTAATTTCTCCCTGCTGATGAGATTACTTGCAATTCAGTAATGGGTGCCTCACAAAAGTATTGCTTGCAGTATTAAAAGCCACCCACTACAAACACACCTAAGTATGGCCACCTGCTGTCTGATCATAACAATTTGCCATCACCACAGCCTTACCAGAAACAAGACTGGAAGTATTGCTGCAGATTGTCTTAAAAACTGAAAAGTTAAAAAAAAAATAAATAAAAAAACAGTGAAACAAAATTCACAACACATGAGAGGTAAACTGTTAATCTCAAAATCCTTATAGGGACTTCAAACAATGCACAACACCTAAATATTTTTACAACCCTCCAGCCAAAGACAATAAAGATTACACAACAAAACATACTCACATGAAATACACCTCCCCAGAACCGAGTCTTGCAGGTAACAAGACCCTCTAAGCTAGGTCACGTCTACAGGAAATCAAACAGCTGCCATAGAAACCAACAGGCAGAGAGCAAACAGATGACCTGTGCAACAAGACTGAGACGAATACCAGCATCAAGAACTACAGTCGCATTCTTGAAGCTTTAAAAGTAAAGCCAGTACACTCATTTTGCTCAGGATCATGGCCAACAAACACCACTCCAAGCTGCTTACTCTACTTTGCATTGATATTAGGGCCTGTCAAAGCAACACTAATCCAGTTTAAGACTCCTCAAGCCATCCTGAGCTAGGAGCACTCTAAGATGCAAGCCCTGCAGGAAGAGCATGCTGTTCCACGTTCTGTTTAGCTTCTGCCTTGCAGATGTTTCTCCTATCTTTGCCTAAGCAGGAGCCGGGAGAGTAGGAACTTTAAAGTACATTATAAAATATGGAAGAGCCTTAGGATATTAGAACAGGCTTGTGGAAAAGAACTCTGAAGTCCTGGAATGAGGGGCTCACCATCATTATTCCACATTTTCACCCACAACTACCATAAAGAAGTTCACTTAAAATGAACAGTGACATATGGAGTATTCAGCGAACTCAGACTTCGTATGTCTGACTACAAAGAGACAAAGAGTTTTTTTCACTGTTTATTTAATACTGTAAAAACAAAAAGAACTCTAATGTGCAAATAATGGAGGGGATTTATATTTTATTAGTATTTCAGCAGCCTTAAAATGACTAATGCACATTCAGGGTGATAAACAGAAGTAAACATTCAAGTCAGAGCAGAGACTAACTCGTCATTGAGAAAACTACATCATTTCATCAGTATGATTCAATCCCATTGCAGTAACCCTGCTATTCCAGTGCTGGGCCTCCTCAAAATAGCAAATGACAATTGTGCAAAAGAAGCCCAATCTAGACTGAACATGAAAGGATTGCTCATCTGAGACACCTCTGGAAAGAAACTGACTGCTGTTGGTGCAACTTCATCACCATCTCCCTCACCTACACTCCTGGATGTCAGAGAGACCATTCCACTCACTGCAAAAGTGGAAACCTCTGAAGTTACTATAGGCCTCACTGACCTAGGTCAACTTTTCCAGCTCTTTGGGAAGTTACAGATTCTAAGGCAACATAGAATGCATGCGGGATACTGCACACACCACCAGGGCCATGACATAATAGCCCAAGGTAGCAGCATGGCAGCTGTCTTGAAAGACAGCCCATTAAAATTACAGAACTTAATCAGCAAGAAGAACAAGGAACAAACTAGTTTTACAACAGGATCTCATGATACGAGTTTCTACTTGACACATAAACAGCCAGGACTTTATGGAGCATCCAAAACAAGCTTCTCACTTGGCATACAAAATCCTACTTTACAGCTTTACAAAAGAGCAGTGTATTTTATCCTTGTTCACTGGCATTTATAAAAAGGAGGAGGAATTGCATAACACTTTTGCTCTCAATATCTGAGCAAGATTCCACCAACAGACCATATGTAATCTAATCTTTCAAAGTTGTAGTCATTCTGTCAGCTTGGTTTATAGCATCATCCCACCTTCCTCACATGGTGAAAGCTGGAAAGATCTATTTTAGTGACAGGAGTCTTAAAAGCAAAAGTTTCTCCTTCCCACAGGAAGTTCTAAAAACAGATACCACTGGCCCATTCTCTGAAGCCAAAGAAACACCTGACAGCAAGGACCTGATCCCCAGGTAGGACTGCAGGTTTTACAGAAAAATAAATACGTAGGTATCTACCCCAGACAACAGCAAATCTATCATTTTCCTATAAATTAACTTCAGCTGCATACTTGTCTCAGTAAACTTCTACTCAGAACAAGAAGCTTATTCCACTGCCTCTGGCACCGAGAGCTCTGAGTTCTACTAACATTTCAGTTTTCATAGCCCATTTTGTTTCAGGTGAACTGAAGTGTAACGGGTAGAGGGTTACCTTTGTCCAAAAATAATACACTCCATAGTTTGTATCTTTTCCCTGACAGTCAGAACTTGTTTCCAGTTTGTCTTAAGCCAACTGTTTTATGAGAACAACTGCAAAATTGCACCACTTTATTTTCTGTTGTTTGGATTTCTATGACATTGCTGTATGAGGTTTAGGCCCGCAGAATTGCATCTCAAAAACTTTGGAAAGAATATTCCTGGAAAATATACAAACCGTATTATACTACTACATAAAACATTTTATGGACTGCAAAACTGAAAAAAACCTCTGGGAACTGAAGAGAGTCTAAATACTTTTGGCTGAACTTAACTCAAGTTACAAGTAAAAATGCCTACTGCTGACTTCTAAGAAATCTGCAGTTCCCTTTCCTCTAGGTATTCTGATTTTAATATTAAAAGACATCACAATTTATCTCACCATAAGCTCCGTATTAAAAATATAAGGGAGAGGGAGAACTCACAAGTAAGTTTTTCTGCATCCTCCACCCCCAACTGATTACAACTCTCACCCGCCTTCTTGTTCCTGTTCTCAACCATGACAATGCAAAGCTAGTCAGCTGTCAGACTGCAGGCCACATGAACCAAGAAGGTATGTCTGTCTTGATCACAGCTGAGTTCAAATGCCACAGTAGGCTTTGAAGCCAGCCCACAGCTTCAAAACAGCCTAGGACAGCTTATCCAAGGTGATCAACCACCTCAAAAGCCACCTCATCATTAAGACTGTATCCAAGTATCCCTTGGATATTTTAGTAACCAGTCTTAAACAAGAAATCAGAGCAGACTCTAGCAAGTACAGTAAGACACTGCCTAACAAAAATGGTAACGAAGTGTTCTATTAAAAATGCAGAAAGGAAACAATTTATATCAGATTTTCCAGGGCATGCCAGACATCTTCATATGTATCAGAACTACGAAAGTGTTGAGCTCTGCACTGCCTCTTTTGCTTTACCCACAGCAAACCTTCTCTAGGCTCACCAACCCAGAAACTGAAATGAGTGGAGAGCAAGAAACAATGACCTATGGGGTCTGGAGAAGACAGACAGGAGAAGCAGTACTGACAGGGGCAGGACTAGGACAAAGAATCAGATAATACCAACCATAACTCATGACAAGCAGCTACACTGGCACCCCAAAATAAATGCTGCTTTGAAGTGTTACATAAAAATATAACAATAAATTATTACTAAAAAATGAAGTTAATGTAATATCAAGTCTACTCATAGCACAAAATCTACTTTTCACACTGCTAAGTGGAAACCTCATTGTGTGATGCTGTGAACACAGTCTACTTTTTAAACTAGGTTTTTTCCAGACTCCTCTTTAAAAGGACCAAAGACTTCACACACAGGCAACACACTGAGCTACAAGTTTGCAGTCAAGCTTCTACTTTCTTTTTTCTAAACAAAAGTCTTGTATGCATAAACAAAGCAAAGTGGAATCATGCCCATTGCTATCCATATGCAGTTTCCATTCTTGCAGACCAGTGCTCTCCCACTACTTTTCCACAAAATTCTGGCATATAACTCACTGTTGGAACACAGAAACACACATTAGCGAAAGCAGAAATCTCTCTTCAAGGATGATACTTTTGAGACATTGTGTAACAGAGGAGCATGAAAAAATTATTTAATAGATAACGTGTCACTGTCATTGCCAGTAAACAGAAGTTCTTTGAGCACACCCTGAAACTAAGGCATTAGGTGGAAGACAAGGAGCAGAGGCATTGCACTGAATCCTCTTGACTTTAAAAGATGGCTTACCATTGCAGACAAATTAATTGGAAGAAGAAAATTTGTGAAAACAGGTAATGAAACAGGACTGTTATCCTTGATCTCTTGTTTATTTGGTTACTGTCACAGCGCAATACACCAGCTGCAACATTACTGACACATAAAACATGCCAAGAAGATTAGATAGCAAATACTCTATTTGGAGGGGAGATGAAAGGTCAAACTTCACTCAGTGCAAAACAGGACATTAAAATAAAAAAATACCACCCCCCACCCCCCCCGAGATAACTATGGACAGGTGTAGTAACATATGGAATCTGACAATTCACAAATAGGAAATGAGGGAATTACCCCCATAACTGAGGTGAACAAAGTACAATAGGGCCATTTGGGAAAGCTAGGCCTGCGTCTGTTAGGAGTGACAGAGATACAGCAAGACTGGCACTACTCAGGAATGAAAACCATGGCATAAAAGGCAGCAACTGTCTGTTCCTGTTGCCTATGGATCTGAAATACTAACATTCCACAAGAATTTATGAGATTCATGGAAAATCTGGAAGTAACAACAGAAACAAATTACAGAAATGTCTCTGAAGTAAAAAAAAAAAAAAAAAAAAGACAAAACCAAACCATTACCAAAAAAAAAAAAAAAAAAAAGCACCAAGCTATAGGAAATAATTAAGGCCTGAAAAAGAACACTATTAGAACATGAAAGTTTTTAAAGCCTGCCACTTTAAGTACTTATTTTTGGATCAGGGTGGAGGGAAGTCTGGGGGGATGAATCTGGCATAATTCATACACTTAATAACCAGGGATAATGAAGAGAAACAAACCAATTGAAAACAGCAGCTATATTTCAGTAAAGTTTTCAGATGACAGACTTTGATTAAGGTCTGGACTGGTTTGCTAAATGAAAGGAGAAGTAGTGTTATCAACTGGTACTTCAGAAGTCAGACTGCAGAAAAATTGTACACAAACAAAATTACCTGTAGGACTCTTCTGTTCCAGCACAAGAATGGATCATATTATTTAATAAACAATCATTAAAAGTAAAAACTTCCAATTTCTTCCACTGAATATTACATAGACAATTAAAATCATTCTGCTGTTTTTGTCAAATTATCTAAAGTGCTGTGCCCCGGATGTCATCAGCCATAGGTGACATTAAACAGCGAACACAAAAATTGAACTGCCAATATGCTCATGAATGCATTCTAATCATGTTCACAGAAATCAGAGGCTCTTGCTCTGCTATTTTCCCTTAATCATCCATACGCCCAAGGATAGCACCCACCCTTAGCTGATGTTTTCATGACTTACTGGTGTTTATAGGGATGCCTAATCTTTTTAAGTAAAGAAACAAACTATTCTCTCTCAAGGAACACTGAATTATCATTATACAAGTCTTAGATCTTCCAGTTCAATAGAACTAGAAAGAGACAATTCATTGTAAGTACAGAAATAAAAGTTCTGCAGGCCCCTACCTGCAACATTTCACCATTGAAACGGCTGTATCACAAGCCAGCAGCACACCTTCCACACTACCCCTCTGTGCACATGCTGCATCAACCCATTCTATCCCATCACCGAGCTCCAAGATGACCAGACCCTACAGAGAGTATGCCTCAGAGAGTGATACTATTATGTGGCTTAAATACTCACACTAAACACACCAAAAAAAAAACAAAACAAAACACATAATCCTATCAATATAACTCAGTTCTATTGCAAAAAAAATGACAAATCTTTTAACGTTAACATAAATTTTAACTTTTCATTACTCATAGTATTTATTCTTTTGCTCATCTCTTAATTACATACACTTAAAGTTAATTCAAATTAAAGACCTTTCAGTTCTTCAACAGTCCAATCCTCATTTCGGAGATGTAGTCGCCCGGGTTACCTAGAAACCATCAGCAGCTCTGTTCAGATACAAATCATTTGTATATTTCAACTACCTCCAGTGAAACAGAAAATAGACAATATCTGTTCCTCAAATTGTTAAGTCGGGCTTTTTGCTTCTCCTCCCCAGGCCAGTTCCCCTACTTCCCTTCTGCTCTCTGCTTTCTCCAACAGCTGCTTCATACACTTCTCCCCAGGAAAACATAAATTCAATACAACAAGGAGCTCTGATCTAGCTATGACTCCTCAGTTTGACTGCCAGTGGTGGAGATCCCCTGTTCTCTCCCCTCCAGCACAGGACTTATATGTTACATTTTGCTGCAGAAGAATCCAGGAAGCAACTTATACTTAAGGAATCAGAGGAGCTTTAAAAAGAAAGTGGAAACCAACAAAATGACATAGCCTGTACCTATCAGTTCTCTGTGGACTACAACACAGTATTTTGTAGTCAAAAAAGTCTTAGAGTAACTGTCCTTAGTTGCAGTAATTTCCCAGACCATTTTATCTCTTTTTTCAAGTACATTCCCAGTGTTGTAGCATCTATACTATGAGAAGTAATAAGGAATATAAGTTAATAAAATTAATTCATGGAAGTCATGCCCCCAATAATATTTTCTTTGCCCAGCAGCACAAGACCTAAATACGGAAGCAAACTTGCTTTTAAATATTGAAAATGGTTTTAAAAACAAAAAGGATTACTCTGAAAGATAGCCCACTTTTTGCCTGCTTATCAAATAATGGATATTTCCTTTTGTAGTTACGCAAGGAGATTTAGAAGTGAACCCCCTCTGAAGCCAGGTGGCATCAGGGAAAATGCAAGGACATATGGCAAATATCACAGTGACGTTAATACCAACTAGATGCTACAACAAATGTGCAGGACCAGGGTCCTCATTCTGAGAAGAGAGCAGGAAAGGCAAAGGAAATATCAAATACAGTCAGCAAGGAAAAAAAAAAAAAAACTGATTAAGAATAATCTTCTTTATCAACAAATTAAAAAGTTACATCTTGCAATCAAAGCACTAATAATCAAATCTGGCAAGGGTAACAGACAGGACTCTTAAGACCAGGTTATTTTATCCAACACAGATTCATCCACTTATGTATGGACAGACAGTATTTTGATCTTCAAGAGCGCTGTCAAAGCACGTAAACCACATAATTTCCCCAAATACTGCAATTCAAAGCATTGTAACTAGCAAGCAAGAACCTTTAGGACCAACAGACAGACACACACAAAACCAACTTACCAAAAAAGTATCCGCAAAATGTTTGCGACCAGTAGCACTAGGCAGACGTAGGTGGAGAAACCCTCAACGTTCTGTGTCCGGCGGATGTCTCTGTACTGGGGAATGTAGGGCACCACGCCGCCGAACACCATGGCCCCCGCAGCACCCCACGACACCAGCTGCTGCATTGGGACCAGCAGCCACTCCAAGCCACCCGCCTCCATGGCGGGAGGAAGCGGGGAGGCTGCCCCGGGTGGTGTCACGCTGAAGGCTCGCCTCCCGCTGCAGTTCTCCGGCGGAGGTCGGCTTTAGCCACGGGCGGGCTCCCGGGCGGGATGCGGCACCATGTCTGCGCCCTCTCTCGCAGGGCCGGCACCTGGGGAAAGGAACGGGGCGTGAGCCTGGCTCGACCGCGGGGCTGCTCCAGCCGCTCCCCGCCAACAGCACGGCACTACCGCACCCCGACCACCGCCCTGCCACGGGCGGGCCGGGGACACCTCTGCTCTGTCGCCCAACCTGCCGAGACGCTCCCGCCCTCACCCGAGCTCCCCACAGGGGAACCCCGGCTCTGCTACGGCTCGGGCGCGACAGCCGCCCCCGCCGCTGAGGCGACCTCCGCCAACGGCCGGGTTGAGGTGGGCACGGACACACGCCCCGTCCGCCGACGCGCACACACGCCCGCCCCTAACCGGCTGCCAGGCGTTTCTCTGAGGGGGCCTCCCTCACCCGCCCGCCGGGGGCTCCCCGCCGCGCCCCGCTCAACCGGAGCCACTCGAACGCACACGCCCGCCCACTCGCTCGGCACTGCCGCGCCCGCCTCCCCACCTGCTCCGGCCACCGCCATGCCCCCTCCGCCCACCACCGGTCCTCAACTAGGGCCGACGGACCGGCGGCGGCGGGCCCCGGGCGGTCCGTGACGCCACAATGACCAGCCATGCCATCCGCCAATGAGTGACGGGGCCGCCCCGTCGATTCGGCGCGCGCGCGCGACGCTGCCGGTGGCTGCGGGCGCGGGATGTGGGGCTAGCGGAGCCCTGGTGACCGGGCACGGTGCCGGCCCCGCCGCCGCTACCCGGGCCATGACTGCTCGGCCGCCGTCACCGGTGCGTCTGTCGCGGGCACGCACCGGACAGCGAGCCGGTTGCCCCGGGATGGCGGAGGACGTACCTGGGGAGCCTTCCTTCCGCACCCTGTTCTTAAACGCTGTCCCAGACCTCGCTCCCCTGTCTCTGACTTGTTCCTTTTGCTTGAAAGTTACGGGAAACTCTGTCACGCCTCATGGAAATCACTTCTCAGTGGCTCTCAAAATTGCAGCCGCTCCTTAACTGTATCCAACAGCTGCAATTGACACATCTTCCTGAACAGAGAGGGGTTATTTCCCTGCAATGGTACAGATAAGGGTGGCAGGGGGCGGGAAATCTCGCATTTTCCACCCAAACTGATCAGCAAGTCTTTACTGCTGTTGGCACTGGGCCTGCAGAGTATCACAGAGTGGTTTGTGTTGGAAGGGACCTTAAAGCTCATCCAGTTCCAACCCCCTGCCATGGGCAGGGACACCTTCCACCAGACTGGGTTGCTCCAAGCCGCCGTCCAGTCTGGTCTTGAACACTGCCAGGGATGGGGCAGGCACGGCTTCTCTGGGCAACCTGTACCAGGGCCTCACCACCCTCACAGGGAAGAACTTCTTCCTCAGACCTCATCTCAATCTCCCCTCTGTCAGTTTAAAGCCATTCTCCCTTGTCCTGTCCCTACCTGCCCCTGTCAAAAGTCCCTCTCCAGCTTTCCTGTTGGCCCCTTTAGGCGCTGGAAGCTGCTCTGAGGTCTCCCCAGAGCTTCTCCCAGCTCTCTCAGCCTGTCCCATATGGAGGTGCTCCAGCCCGAGGAGCATCCCTGCAGCCCTCCTTTAGGCTCTGCTTGAGCAGAAGTTTAAGTGCTGCATCACAGATACGACAAAGAAGTAGACAGCATGGATGCTGCATCCTCAAAGGGCTGCTTGAGGTGGTGGCAAGCTTCAATGACACTAGATAGTTCATCTGTTCAACCTTACAAGTGGCTGCACAACAGTCTTCAAATATTGTTCTTTGGACTCCCTGTAACACTTTGATGTATGTGTATATGCTCCTGCTGCTCATGCAACAGGTGAGAAATGAGGTGGGGTTTCCTGCAACTGAATGGTGTATTATTTTGTGTGGCATATCAGCAACTGTAAACATTTGTTTTGAGTCTTGAATGGAAAGGAGCTGAATTAAAAACAGAAATCAGTATTTGTTTCAGGGCTTCCAAAGCCTTTTACTTCTGCATAGCAGCATCTCACTCAGCCGCAATCATTTCTGCCACCTGGCAAGTTTTTATTGTGTACATGCAGCAGAAGAACCTGCACATTACTGCAGAGTGTATTTTTCAAAGACCAATTTTGGGGTACTATCACACAAATATCCAAAACACCCTCCTACACCAATGAGGTGGCCATTGATAACATTAGGACTCATCTTTCCCACAGGGAAGCAGTAGCTCCACTTTGTTTCACAGACCTGAAGGTTTGTTAAAAATACACAGTGGAAGTCTTTAATTCTGATTTTTGGCTGAGGAGCCTGAAGTTCTTGATTTCAGAGCATCTGGCTCATTTAGAGAGAGTATAACAATCAAAGTATGTATAAACTGCATCATTTAAAACATTTTATTATTTAATGGCTCATATTCCAGATATCACTTGTGCATTGTTATAATCACATAGTTATGTCAACTTCTTATCCAAAACTTCTTGAGAGCTCTTGCCACATTATTTTTCTTTAAACACATAGGTCTAAACAAGCCTCAGGCTGAAAATAAGTGTACCGCCGATTAGGAAGCCAACTTTCGTTCCTGTAAATCTAAATGTTTTGAGAAAACATTGAGAAATCATCTTGAGAAAATAGAGATTTTAAAGTAATGGCTACCTACATAGAAGAAACTGCCCAGGCTGACACCAGTTCTCCAGGTTAGCTTCCAGAATAATTCCAGGATACTTCTAAGTCTATGTGATAACAATTTTCATACAATATTAAGATTCTAAAGTACTCAGCTGGAAACAGACAACTGCCTTTCATTGGGTTGTTCACTCTGACTTGAAATTGTGAGGGTAAAGATGCTGAACTACAGCAGCGCAGCACGTTACTGTGTGAATGTAGTTCAGCTTTAGTCAGTGAAAAATGTCCATTGATGTAAGATAAACTGACTAGTGATACCAGACACTTGGTGGGGGAGGAATGACAGGTTGGCTTGAACTCCTCCAGCTGAGCAACTGCACAAAAGCTTGTGTCAGCATTAGGGAGGGACCTTTTGGGTCTCAGAATACTCTAAGCAGCCCGGGGCCAATTTCTTTGGCATCGATGACATCCTAAAGTGTTCACTGATTTCAGCAGAATATATAACCAAGCACACAGAATATCCAACTGTAACAGACCCAGCAAAACTCTAGTAGGAGGGTCCCCTGGAGAAAATTTATCTAAAGTTTAAGCTGTAACAGGTGGCTGAACAGAGTCTTGACTCATGCAGGAAAACTTCTGCAGGTCTGAGTGCAGCCAGATAAGAATGCTTCGCCTTGTGAAGCTTGACATCAAACTAATTTTCAATGTACTTAGTAACTGAGAGGGAGCTCAGAAGGACCACTTCCTCGGTGCAAAATCAGACCTACCATAGAAGCAGTACTGCTTCACTGCCAGACAGTAATCCTTTGGTTCCGAGTGAGAAAATGAACAGGTGCATTTATTTTTCCACATGGACTGGCAAAATTCCCCTTTACAAAAAAAACCAAAAATCTCCATTTGTGTCATGGTGTGCCTCCTCACAAGCCATAACCACCAGTGCAGCTTGTGATGGCTGCATCCAGCTTACTCTGGACTTGGGGACGGACAGCAACATGGTAGCCAAGGACTGCCTGGAATGGTGACCAGAGGTCTTGCTGGTATGCAGATATGGCTGTAAGTCAAACATCATACTTTATAAATAGTGGACAGACAAGGGCCTGTGGAGCTCTCCTGCACAGCAGTGGGCTCCACGCCAGGATCTCCCCTGGAGTAGGGACACATCTCAAGGTTACTCCTCAAGGTTGAGAGGTTCCTTGGCTCAACAGATTCTTGGTAAGTGATTAACAGCATGCTAAACTTTGAAATCATAGCTAAGTGATACAAAGGGTTGATTGCACATATATACCCTTCAGATATAAACCTGAGAGTAAGTCTGGAAGTAGGTGCACTTAGACTCCTCTCTGAGGAGTTTAGAAAGCAAAGGAGTCTTTTCTGACCTTCATGACCCAATGCAAGAGCCTCCCTGACAGTTTTGTGTGACCCTGTCCTCTATTCAGTAAATAATCAAGTGTACCTTGCCACTGAATCTTGTGAAACCACACTCACCATTTAACTTTGTTAACTCACTGGTTTATATCAATAAAGTACATTGATGCTTCTCTCTTATGAGTGAAGCGCATGACTTCATTTGCAACAATTTGGTATAATTTAACTACCTGTTCAGAAAACAGAAGCAGATGGTACGTTTCACACCAGGTCTTTGAAGACTAATATTGATCTTTTCATGACAGCTGCTGTAAGAGAACTGAAATGGAGTATGTGAGCAGCTCTAGCCACATAGTTCCAAACTAGGTCCTAGCAGTTAACATTTTGGTGACAGCATAGTCCTTAAACCTCCAAGAACTTTGATGTATTAAGAAATCTGGTAAGATAATACCAGTTAAGAAATGTTCCTATGTTATCTTTGTATACAATTTAAGCAAGCTGAAAGGGGTGAGCGGATATGGCATGTTTACAAATGCATTTTATGTATATAAATATTTAATGTATATATATATAAATATATATATAAGGTTTTGTTTTGCAGTTAAGTCCACTGAATTAGAAGAGCAAGCAGAGGCCATATTCCTAGTAGAAGAACACTAGGTTAAACAGGACACAGGAATCAACCACCCAAGTTTTAACACTGAAGCCTTAGCTGCCTCTTTGCAGCAGGAGGAGGGCTGTTGGTACTTCACTTGTAGCAAAAATAGGAGATTGCTGAATGTCTTCTAACCAGTCTGTTGTCCTGTCAATTGATTTTGAAAGATGAGTATTAAAATTATTTTATATTCTATATACCAGAAATTCTGTTGCACTGAAGCAAGCATAGGAAGAATTCCCTGCAAGATGTAGGCTAAAGACATTTCAGATAACCTTTAAGTCACTCCTTGAACGCATTGTATCATAAATGTTGTCATAAGGATCATGTGAATTCCTAAGTAGCCAAATTCCCTTCAAATATCACATTATATCTCACTGTACAACTACAAACCTAGTAAAATCAAAAAGAAGTCTTCACCATGCTGCTCATGGAAAAAGTAAATGGGTCTTAAGTACCTTGAAATTGGCTATTCCTACCAAGATGTATTATCACTAAATCATCATCCTCTTCTCTCCACTTTTGATTTTCTAAAGCAACCCTACTACACTGGTGAGCCCCTGTCTTTGCAACTAATGGACAAAATCAAGCTCAGGAGGTATTGTTCTGTGGGTGACGGGATAGAAAATGGATCCAGGTGTTATCGCCTTGGTCCCTCTTAAGCCTTGGTGAAGAAAACACCAGGTATTAATGCCCTGATCGGGCCTAAGCCTTGGGAACTGTAAAGAGAACAATGAAGGGTAAAGATCGGTTAGCAAAACAAAGCAGGCAGTTTGCAAGATAAAGCAGGATGTGCATCTCAAAGACAGACCAAACAATGTGAATATTTGTAACCCTTAGTAGTTTTGCTAAATCGGGATGATAAGGGAGTAAAAGAGTGGAAAGTTACTGCTTAGCACTTAGTAGACTATAAAAGGGATGGGACAAGAAATAAAGGTCTTCAAATTTCACCAGAACTGGAGTCCGTCTTTGATACACCATATTGTTCTATCGCACATAGTTGATTCTACAATCTTCACC